TGACCGCTGCATTCAATTTATCCAGTTGCTAACATTCACGGATAATAAAAAATAACATAATAATAATAAAAATTTAATAATATAACATTTACGGATATCATAAAAATGGGAGTGAGAGACATCTATAACTGAAATCAGCATTGCCCTAGCATTGTCCTGCTGGAAAATGGCATCTTTACGATCGACCAATTCTGGTCGCTTTTCCTTGACCGCTGCATTCAATTTGTCCAGTTGCTAACATTCACGGATAATAAAAAATAACATAATAATAATAATAATTTTATAATATAACATTTACGGATATCATAAAAATGGGAGTGAGAGACATCTATAACTGAAATCGGCGATTACTTAGTTGCCAACCCAATACATGTACACGCGTTGCCTTCCGTCGCGTATTTTGTCGCTGGAAATCCTGCTTGCGCAAACCGACATATCCGACGGTCCCAAAAAATTCTCGCCGATTCGCACCGAAGAAAATCGGATCGTACTAACCAGTCTGTGTTTTCTCTTTCCGATGTTGCAGAGTGGAAAGCTCAGCGTTGCAGTTGGTGTACCCGCTGGATTCTCGTCCGGTGCAGCTAATCTTCCGGGGGTTGCAGGTGGTCAAGGAGAAAAGACCCCTCCTTCGGGATGTCTCGGGCGTCGTTAAACCCGGCGAGCTTCTCGCCGTCATGGGCCCTTCAGGTGCGCACCGTTTTTCGTTCTTCAATGGACAACGATCTTACGAAATAGAAAATAGAAATAGAAAATACAAAGAAACGCGACAAATTCCGCATTGCAGAAACTATCAGAAACGAGTCCTTTCCGATCATTCGATTGGGCCCGATAAGCAGGCTAAAGATGCGAAGAAGAACGTTTAAAAACGGGTTTGGCGACTTTGTCTCTTCGCGGACGCGTGTCTACGAACAGCCGTACTCGCGCACAGCAAATAATTGGACAGTTTTTCAGATACGATGACATTTTTCTAATTGAACCAGAAATTTGTTGGGACGATAAAGAGACTAGTTTAGTAGACAATGTCTAATTGCAATTGGTTCGCGTAACAAAACGGAATAGAAGGAATTACATTTTTCGAGCTTTTTGTCTTAGCCTGTACCGCAGAATCGAAGCATATAATCCATACAAAAATCTTTTTATTCGATGAATTACTGTTAGTGATGTCAGTAATATCAATAATATTAGTAATAGCAACAGTAATATTAATATGATTTTAGTAATGATAACAGAAGTAATTTTCAATAATAGCAATATAGTATTCGATTATTCACCAATTCTTTCATATCGAAGAAAAACACATTTTCTTTCATATAATAAAGCTTTTAACTTTTACAATATTTTATTAATATGATTTTGGTAACAATAAAACAAGTAGTTTTCGATAACAGCAGTATAATATTCAATTCTTCGCCGATTCTTTCATAACGAAGAAAAACGCATTCTCTTTCATATAATAAAGCTTTTAACTTTTACAACATTTTATTAATATAATTTTGATAACAATAATACAAGTAATTTCCAATAACAGCAATATAATATTCAATTATTCGCCAATTCTTTCATAACGAAGAAAAACGCATTCTCTTTCATATAATAAAGCTTTTAACTTTTACAACAGTCTACTAATATGATATTGGTAACAATAATACAAGTAATTTCCAATAACAGCAATATAATATTCAACTATTCGCCAATTCTTTCATAACGAAGAAAAACGCATTCTCTTTCATATAATAAAGCTTTTAACTTTTACAACAGTCTACTAATATGATATTGGTAACAACAATACAAGTAATTTCCAATAACAGCAATATAACATTCAATTATTCGCCAATTCTTTCATAACGAAGAAAAACGCATTCTCTTTCATATAATAAAGCTTTTAACTTTTACAACAGTCTACTAATATGATATTGGTAACAACAATACAAGTAATTTCCAATAACAGCAATATAACATTCAATTATCCACCAATTCTTTCATAACGAAGAAAAACACCTTCCCTTTCATATAACACCGATTTTACCTTGTATAACGAACAAGTTCGACAACCGCTTACGCGTCTACACGTGTAACACCCTGCTGCAAAGCGACATTCGCTCTGCGCGCAGCTCCGTCCGCAAAGGTTCAACGTCGCCAATGCTTCAGAATGTTTGCAAGAACGGTGGAAGTAAATCGAAGTCGAAGAACGCCGGGAACCGCCGTACAACTTCTTTCGGAAGTAATGGGGCGTCTTGAAGCTCGCGGTTTGCCCGTTTTACGATTCGACTGGTTGGGAAAAGGACCTGTTTCGGCGAGCCAGCTAGAACGGAGGCACAAACAATCGTGTGCAGCACGCGAACGTTCCGGCCAAGATAAGACACGGCAGATTTCTATCTTTAACCGTGGCCGCGTAACGAGCCGTTGCACCGTGTCTCCGGGGGCGATATTTATCGCGGGAGAATTCTTCGTTCCCCTTGATATTCGTTTAACAAGCGCGTCCCCTCGCAACCCCCGCACGGCTCCGCAAATCATCGGCCGCGCTTTCCTCTGTTTCACGGTTCGTCGTTAACGTCGCGGCCACCGAGACCAGTCCGGCTCTATATCTTCCGCGTCGCCGGCGGATCGCGCGATTCCGCGCGGAAAACACGCTATTCCGGTGTGGTTAGACGGCTCGAAGAACCCTCGGGCTCTAGAACCGGACCGCGTGATTCAGGCGCGGGATATTCGGCGATATCGGCCCGTTCGACCTTGCTGAGTTCTTCGAGGCTTTTCGAGGCTTTTCGAGGTTTTTCGAGGTTTTTGCCCTGCCTTGCATATTCTCTCTTATTCTCTCTCGCTCTCTCTCTCTCTTTCTTTCTCTGACTCTGTCTCTCTTTCTCTCCCTCTCTGTCTCTCTTTCTCTCTCTTTCTGACTCTGTCTCTCTTTCTCTCTGTCTCTCTATTTCTCTCTCTCTGTCTCTGTCTCTCTATTCTCTCTCTCGCTCTCTCTCTGTTTCTTTCTCTCTCCCTGTCTCTCTGTTTCTTTCTCTCTCCCTGTCTCTCTGTTTCTTTCTTTCTCTCTGTCTTTTTATGTCTCTCTATGTCTCTCTGTCTCTCTCCCCCTATCACCCCTCTCTCTATTTCTCTCCGTGTGTCTCTCTGTCTCTTTTTGTCTCTCTCTCTCTCTCTCTCTCTCTCCCCTCTCTCCCCTTTCTCTGAAACGATATATATCATATAAAAAAAAGGAACGGGAATTTGTAAGTGAAACGCAAACCACTTATTTGTTCAGCAAAATTTACATTTCAGCCTCCAAAAAGTGTTCCATCCGAGGCAATAAACATTTATTGTGTATATTCATAGGCTCTTTGTACTAGTCATATTATTTATTATATACACACAGTTGGTTTATACTAGTAGTATCATTTATTATCGAATCGTGAATTTTTAAACGAAATAAAAATTGTCTGCACTAATTGCAAGGCATACATATGCTGCACAGACATTTATTTCATTCATTAATAATTTTAATCAGTTGAATATAATGTAACAGTATCTTTAAATTCTTTAAACGGTTTTACTGTTTCGTATTTGACCCAATAATTTTTGTCATAAATGCATAAAATCCGCAGTCAATTTATTACACATACCACATAGCGATGTATGCACATGTACGAGGCTCGAAAAATGTCGTCGAACGACCGATAATCTGATGACTTTATAATCAGAAATTCCAAAATTCATATTCAAATTCCAATCCAAATTCAAACATCCAAAATTTTGCACAATGCAACGGGGGTTGTTGCGGAAGTTAATTCGACGTTCCAAATAGACAGCTTACGAAACAAAAAGATCGCCGAAATTACTCTCGCGACGACGAAATATTTGACAAGAGACACGAGGAAGTTCCAACATCAAAAACGAACCGATCTTCATCAATTATTGCGTAGGATCCGCGCGGAACATTCGCGCTATATTTCCGAGTATCGTAAGAACCCGCGAACGGTCTTTTTTTTCGTCCGAGAATAGAGCGGCCGCCGTAAACCGCAGAAGTATTTTGGCACGCGATCAAGCAACGAGACGGTCCCGCGTTTTTCGAGGAGTCGCACGGTGCCGGTTAGAGCTCGGGTTCGCGCGGAAAATCTGCGAACGCGGCGCGGCTCTAAAGGATAACGATGTTCCCGAGGGACGACGACGGGGGTAGCATGTGATTCGGTGTGTCGTTGAGGGGTTGCTTGATTTTTCTGCGAAGGTTGCGGCAAAACCACGCTGCTGAACTGCCTGTCGGGCCGCGTGGGCGTCGACGGGGGTGAAATCTGGCTGAATCGCGAGAGGCTGACGAAGAGATGGCGCCGAAGAATCTGCTACGTGCAACAGCAGGACGTTTTCTTCCCCGATCTGACGTTGCGGCAGACCCTCGAGGTGAGTGTCCCCTCTGTATTTCCATTTCGGTCGGCCGACATTGTTTCAGTTATAGCGCGAGGCAGCATTCTCCGTTTCGTAACTAACACGCCAAAAAAGAAGAAGAAAAAAACAAAACAAAAGAGAACAAAAGAAAAAAGAAAAGAAAAACCGTCGGAACGAGCAGCATAAAGATGTCGATATTATTCGTATCGTTGGTAACGGCGTGTTCTCTCCGAAATTCTCGGCTGCTTCTGGCCCTGGTGTAGGAAAAAGAAAAGCAGCGGCGCGGTATCCATAAACCGCCTGTAACAACGATCGAAGAGATGTTCTCCCGTCCGTAGGACCCCATTGACATGGACCGATAAATTCCTGCGACCGTTCCGTCTGGTTGGATTTGCATGAGCAATCCGGCGGGGACGGCCTCTTAATAAAAACCAATGTCCTTCTCGAACGTATACGACCGCTGTTAACGCGGCAACGTCGATAGATAAGAGAACCATCAAAGACGGTTTCTCCGTTCTCTGTTTCTCTTTTTCCTCCCGCCCCGTAAAAATTCGACCGACCGACGTTCGTTCCGTCGGATTAATTGCTTCGTTATCTTCCGCGTGGACGAGCTCGCTCGAAGACCGCGCGCGATTCGTGCACGAGCTCGCGAAAAGAAAAGTCCCCGGGGAACACCTGTTCGCGTTTACGCGGCTCGCGAACGCGTCCGTACGCGACGCTGTCTCTCGCGTAAAACCGATCCGGGTTATCGGGGAGATTCGGCTCGGATCGGGCCCGAGCACGGGCCCGCCGAGATTCGAAAGGTCGCCTAGTTGACGGCCGAACCGGAACAAAAGGCTGACGCGGCGATTGGAGGCTCTGCATTCGGTCGAACCGTGTAAATAGCAGCGCTAGTAAGTTACTCGGGCAAGTAGAATCGGACGAGCATGGTCAGACGGTGGTGTAGAATATACGCGCGCTCGCTGGAATCGAAAGAAGTACGGAGCACGAATCTTTGTTCTATCTGTCCTTCTATCGTCGCTGTATAACGTGAATATTACTTACTGCTCGCGATGAAAAAAAATTCGCTAGAAACTGCGACTTACAATTAGTTTCCATTGAGTCGAGACGAATGGAAGTTGCCAAGATTATGTCCAGAAGCTGCTGTAATCCTCGACGGAATCGTTCAGAAGCTTGTTTGAATGATTTTCAATAATTTGGTGTGTAAGTCGGACATTTTTATGGACACTTCGCACATAATGTTATAAATACGAATGTTATTCGTTTCTTTCGACTCGAGATTGAATTCGATTCTCCTGTGATAACAGGAATTCTAGGTGTGAAGGACGTGTAAGATACAAAAATTGTCTCGCGCGTTCTATCAGGAAATTGATTGAGAATGATGAAGATGTTAAGTAATAATGTATAATTAATTTAAGGTTGAATAAGATGATTGTTAGCAAGGAAGCAGTCTCTCGACGAAGATTTCATGCACACTCTACTAAATATGAATGGCATTTCTTTCTTTCGACTCGAAATAAGATTCGATTCTTCTGTTATCGAAATATAGATACGAAGGGCATACAAGAAACAAAAATTGTCTCGTTCTATCAGGAACGATGAGGATATTTGCAACGGGTTAATTAAGAAGATTATTAACAACGATCCAAACTCTCGACGAAGATTTCGTGCACAATTTACTAAATATGAATGTTATTCGTTCCTTCAAAATCGAAACAAAATTTGATTCTTATTATCAAAATCTAAAAGAGGAATCTGGAAAGTAAATGAACACTCGCGAGAAACAAAAATCGTCTCATTCTATCCGGAAAATGATTTTAAGGGCGAGGAGATGCTAATCAACCTGGTTGTGAAAGAAATTGTAGCGAAAAGGGTAACCCTTAGCACTCGAAGCAACTTTAACTCGAAATCTGAAATAGTTTCTTCGTTTTATAGTATTTTCATTACATATAACTTAACTGCATTTTATGCATGCGACATTGAATCTTATGACTCAAGCAAGTATAAACAAATTCGATGATATTAAAATTATTTTGAAACGTGATATAACAATTCTTGATGTCGCCTCAGAGTCGCCACTCGAGTGCAAAGAGTTAAATCGACTTTTTTTGAAATCCTGAAGCACGGTAAATTCTCCCCAATTGTCCTTCAGCTTGTAAACGAAAAATGGACAAATTTGAGAAAATAAGATACGATTATTCGAGCTTTGCGGCTCGTTTTTACAATCGGCCGCGAGGATCGAATAATCGTATCTCCTCTTCCAAAATCGTCCATTTTTATGTGCGATCTGAGCGCGAATTAGGGAGAAATTATTGTACTAGGTACGTGAACATCGAATCGTGGCATGTGGCCTCCGAATTACCTTCGAATCTCCTTCGAATTTCGTTTACAAGCTGATGGAAATTTGAGGCAGAATTTCCCGTGCAGCAAATAATCCCGAAAAACGCGTGCCGCTGTCTCCACGTGCGTCAGTTTAACGTTTAGAATTCTCGGAAATACACGAAGGAATTCGAAATTTCCGGCTGCCCGACCGTGTTTGAACCCGCCGCGGCGACCAGCAAATCGCGGAGCCGAACATTCCCAGACTCGTTTCCCAGTAACCTAATCGCGAGGCGCGCTCGCACTGGGATCACCCCTCGCGGAGCGGAATAGGAGAACCGGTGGCCGCGATCGCGACGTTTCCTCGTTTTCCCGGAAAATCGCATGCCGGCAACCGTGCCAAGTTTATCGGCCGCGATTTACGAGGGCCCGCGACCGAAAATTAGGAGGACACCTACTCGCGTTCGTGCGCGCGTGGAATGCGGGCCGGGAGCCAAACGCCCCAGCGTCGCCCCCCTCCCCCCTCGAGGACTTTAAGCCGCGTCCTCCCTCCGTTCACCTGGGAATTTCACTTCGATTACACCTGGGCTCTGTTCTAATCTGGAGGAACGATGCCCTGCGATCTTCTCCGGGCCACGAACTCGATCTTCTCGGCGATCAATTCGCGGGCGAAACGAAATTTCCGAATTTCGCGGCACCGAATTCGCGATAAGCGAGTCGTAACGATTGCTGTGACCTTATAAGGATTTTAATCGTATCTAGAATTAATATTGTTAAATCAGAGATATCGAACTTTTGTAATAAAATTTGATCCGATCGATATTTTAATTTTCTAAGGGCCTATAAAATGCGGAAACTAATTTTTATAATACTAATAATACTAAAAAAAATAATACTAATTTTTATATTTTCTTGTTAAGAAAAAAAGACTTAAAAAACATATTGCGAATGGAAGAACGCGACAACGATATTTTCCAAAGCGAAAAAATAAATTATCGGGCCCGTTCGCGATCGCGGACGCGTTACGGATTTTCGGGTGAAATTTTTTTGGGAAACCGTCGCGCGCCATTGTGGACGGGGCTTTAAAGGATCGAAGGTGCCGTGGTCGGCTCGACGAACGCGGACGGACGCGCCATTTTCTCAGCAGCCGAGTCCGTTACACAAGAGGATCCGTTATGCGGAGAGAGAAAGTGCTGGCCGATGATATTTCGCCGCGTGCGTTGTATAGCGGTCATCTCACGGCTACGGGGAAACTGGACTACTCGTAACGAAACGTGTTTGCCAGGACTCCTTCGAATTTTCGCAGCTTTCGAAACGACAATTTCATTCCGCCGACACCCCTGGTATGCGGAAGCTTCTGACCTCTCGGACTCGGCCGAAAACGAGTCGCGACGACGACGATGATTTGCTACTTTTCGAGCAACGAAAACCGTTCGGCAAACGACCGGGTCGTCTGTACGTTCGTTTTCCCGATAGAGCTTCTACGTCAAAAATCACCACGGAATCGGAGAGAGAAAGCTGGCGACGTTATTCTGATCGACTCTAAAAAAGTGTAACAAAAAGAACCTCTGCAAAAATTGCCCGGCAAATTTTATGTCAAACGAAGGAAAATGGTGATAGTTTTATAACAGAATTATTTTCGATTTTGGCTCGGATTTGGATACTGGAATCGGTAGACTTCGATTCGGCAAGAAATAAAAATTGTGCCAAAGCGTCGCGTCCGTTTGGCACGAAATTGGGCCCGAAATTTGATGATCCGTGAACGGACAGATAATGCAGCCATTTTGCGGAGGTTCTTCTCGTCGCGGTTCATTTTCAAATTAGCTTGCAGAGGAAAGCCTTCTTCCCTTCACGATGACCCCTTTCTCGCCATTTTGTCGGCCCCCGAACAGAGTTACAGCAAATTCTCCCTAATCGATTCTCGACTTGTACAGAGAAATGGACAATTTGGGAAGAGGAGATACGATTATTTTATAGTAATCGGTAACTATAAAAAGGAGCCACGAGGCTCGATCAATCGTGCCTCCTCCTCCCAAATTTTCCATTTTCGTTTCCGAAGGTCAATTGCGGAGAATTTTACCGTACGTAGCCTGAAACCCCGTGAAATCGGATTCAAGAAAATAATATTAATATTATTTTATAATATAAATAATATTAATATTATTTTATAACATAAATAATATTAATATTATTTCAAGGAAATAAGCGACGATGCGATCGATCAACGTTGTCGATAATCGACAACTATAAAAAGTATAATCGCATCCGCTCTTTCGAAGCTGTCAATTCCCGACGGACAATTTCCGCGGGACAATTTCGGAGAATCCACCGCGTTCTTCATTTCGAGTGTTCGTACTTTTGACTCGATTCGAAGCGAAACGCGTCCACGCCCCGAGCACCGAGCAACCATAAGCGGCCGGCGATTCGGCACGTAGTGCGCGGACTTTCCTCGGAGACGCGGAACGTGTTCGCGCTGCGGCCGATAATTCGGTGGTACGTGCGTGTTCGAGCGTGTACGAGGCGAGCTCGGCGAGCGGAATCGAAGGAAAACACGACACGGGCCCGGCACGGCCCGGCCCGGCCCGCCTCGGGCGCCTCTTTAGAATTCTGTCGCGGGCTTTGTCTCCGTTCGGCCGGAGTGTGACGAGAAAACGCGCGGCTCGCCTCGCTTCGCCTCGTGACTGCATTGCAGTCGAACCGTCATCTCGGAAAAACATACAGGGTGCCCGGCGGATGATGGAAAACGCGGCCGGAATTCGATAGAAAATAGACCGTGAAAAACCATCTGTGACAGCTCTCGCGGCGCGGGGGCCTCTCCCGTCGGACGGGAATTGGAGCATCCAAGGATCGACTCCGAGCAACTTCTCCGAGTTTTCACGAGTCGGCTGCGCCGGCTTCGATAATCGAAAATTCTCGGGAGCCCCGTCCGGGAAACGTGCGCGACATTTTTATTATGCTCCGCTCCCGACGGAACGTTTAACGAGCTCGGCGGATTTTTTTATTGATCCCTGCACCCGTCCGGAAGAATGTGTGTTTCTGGAACGTTTCTTATTTCTCTGCGATCTTATCGGTGCTAATCAACTTCGTATCGGTTCGTTAATGCATACTCTGCACTGTAATTTTACTATGAAATCTCTGCATTTCGTACTTCACCCCTTGCCGTGCCAACTTTTTTTTATAATTGCAATGGTCGGAACCTTTTCGATCGCAATGATTTCTTAGAGGAAAATGAGACTTTGTCGCGTGATTGGGTCTACTTGAATGTTTAAATCGATAGATTTCATTATTATTATTATTATTCTGTCAACGAGTTCGATTAAGTCGAATTCGATACCGACTTAAAGGAACATTCATACTTAACAGATTATTACTAGAAATCTTCACCACGAGTCTGACTTTGATAGAAGAAAATATCACCTAATATTATACTGTGAACCCTAAATTCGAGCTCCTCGAAGTATCCTCGGCAAAAGTAACCACTTTTGAATAAAAACTAGGCGTGTTTTCTACGTCACCACTTTGCCTGCCATGGCAGCAGCTTTATAAGTTTTACAAAAATAACGTAATTTTATTTAGCCAAATTATAATTTGAAAGCTAAATCGACGAACAATCACAGCGTTGCTTCGCCTGTGAAATTTAGTGCCCCACCTCGTTGTGCTAGGTCAGCCCTGCCCGTTAGAACCTCCTCGCGGTACTAATCGAGATTTAGTTCGATTGACCCGTTTTACAGGAAGGACGTATACATTCATTGACAGGGGAATAGCGATAAGATTGACATATTTGCATTTCCAATGTTACAAGATTTCAAACAGGTCTTTATAAACTGTTTACCTGATTCACTGATTCTCTGCTGTTCAACATAAGTTATGCTTTGTTATTTTATAAACGGGTGTTTAACTGTATACGTAAATAAATTAGATTATAATCCAATTAAATGAAATTATAATGAAATGAAACTATAATGAAATGAAATTATAATGAAAATAAATTATAATGAAATGAAATTATAATTAAATTAAAATATACTAAAATTAATTTAAAGTATAATGAAATCGTTTTTTCAAGATCCTTACGTTTCGCGGATCCTTCTAAAATCAGAAAAATATCAAAGATCGTCGTAAAAATTAATTAAAAAATCTGAAACGCGTTGGTCAAAGCGTTGCGACAATTTTACGGACAACATTAGTCGATAAAGCAGGTATGAAAATATAAAGTCGATTAGTGGTAGCCAGCAACAACGATCGGAGCTACCAGGATCCCGCGGAGCGAAGAGAAGGCCGAATGAGATGGTCGAGCAAAGGGTTAATCGTTTCCGGATCAGAAACGACCGGGTGCATCGGCACCGGTGCAGCATTATGCACCGTACGAAGCGAAATCGGTTTCCGGAAAGGGGTCACAGGCCGATCCGCGAGACAACCGGGGCCGGCCAAAAACAGATCCGGTCCCGGAGAAGGGTGTAATCGCGCAAGATGGCGGCCCCCGGCTTAATCTCCGGCACCGGCCGCGTTATCGTAATTGATTTAACGATCACGATTACGAGCGTGGGGCCGGTGCATCCCCGAGGATACGTGTCAGATGGTAATAATAGACGCGAAGTGGGCTGGATGTTACGAAACGGAAATGCACCGGCACGCCGCGCCGAGCCGCGCCGGCTTTTGCTTACGTTACCGTTTGATGCGTAAACGGGGCCGGGCCGTGTCGGGCTGGGCCGGGTTAATGGCGGCCGAAAACGATACCGATCTACCAGTTCGCCGCCGACGCGCCGAGATCCGATCATCGGCGAGATCGCTTTTTCCCCGCGATTTTATCGTGTTTTTGTTTCTTGGGTTCCAGTACCAGGCGAGGCTCAGGCTTCCGGACACGTTCTCGCACTCCCAGAAGATGCAGTGCGTGGATCATATCATCGAGGTCCTCGACCTCGTCGGCTGCCAAGACACCAGTGAGTAGAGAGAGAGAGTCGTGCCAAAATTTAATCGAATTAGTATAATCAAATAAATAACCCGAATTCCTGCTTTACACGTTAATCGCGGTCGGATTCCTTTTAGTTTCAATCGTCGATCAGACGATCGATTAACGATTCACTTCGGAGTTCCCTTTTCCGCTGAAACGAACAACCGATGCACCGAAATCGATCGATCAATACGTTGGATTAATACTAATCAATATGTCGGATTCTAAAAGAATTAATCGTTGAAAGAAAACGACGATCGATTTCGTCGACTGTGGAAACGAGTCGTCGATCGCACGTTGTAGAAAATTAATCGTCTAAAAATCGGCGATTATGCAATAAATTAAATTGGTAAAGTGTACCATTATAGGTTGTCGGTCGATTAAATGAAACGTCGATTTTTCGACGGTCCATTTTCGTTATTTTTTAATCAACGAGACTTTCTAGATCGGATTTATGAGCGCAAAGGCTGCAAAGTGTTCGCGAAACACCTAAATTGTCTCGCGGTTTTATTTTTAACCCTAGAATGCTTAAGGTTTATTCAAAGTTTTATTGTCTTATCTTTTTTTCTAAGCCTCATTTTACATTTTTAATCTCATTTTTAATTTGTTCCGTTCGAGATATATTTATTTATTTGCGATACTGTTGAATAATACATTTAGGATATGAAAGATATACAAGGTAATAAAATATAAAAGATTTATAAAAGATTTTTAGAACAAAAATACATGCTTCAAGTTCTGTTTCTATTCTCACATTTTTCGATACTACCTTAAGCATGCTGGGGTTAACATGAAATAGGTTTGTTCAGCTCGAAAACTCGTTCGACGTAGCAAGCAACGCATCGAAAATACGTAACGATGCAACCGTGTACCTTCGAAAGGGTTATCCGAGCTGCTTGCTAGGTTCAACGAAGGTCTCATAGTGCCGGCAAGAAGTCTTTGGCTGGAAGAATCGTGTCACGGTGTTATTATTAATACGAAGTAGGTTTGTCCATTGCTCAAAAGCTCGTTCGATCTAGCAAGCAACGCACCGAAAATACGTAACAATGCAACTGTGTACCTTCGAAAGAGTTATCCGAGCTGCTTGCTAGGTTCAACGAAGGTCTCATAGCGCCGGCAAAAAGTCTTTGGCAGGAAGAATCGTGTCACGGTGTTATTGTTAACACGAAGTAGGTTTGTCCAGCCAGGAAGCTCGTTACCAGGATCGCGCGACTATCGATCGCGGGCCTGCAGTTTCCATCCATTCCGTCGGTCTTTTTTTACTCTTTCCCCGTGCATCGACCACCGAAACTTTCGAGCCGACTTCCTGTTTAACTGTTTCTCGGCCGTTCGAGTTTCGGGAGGTGGATCGGTTCGACGGAGGGTGGGCCACCAGACACGGCGCGCATACAGTCGGTGACAAAAGTCCGATGGTTCGGGACGTTCGCATTATTTTCTGATGGCTGTCGTCTGTCGGAGGAGAGAAAACTGTAGGGAGGGCTTGCGCCGTTCGTTGTTCGAATTGTACGGGTTCCGGAAGTCGTCTCGATCGAGTTGCTCTCGAGAAAATTTCGGAACATGCCAAACAATGACTTAAACCTATCCTATTTTAAAATATTGCTATTTATTATAATGTCATTTTTATGACTTATATGATATATGTACGATTTATTTATTTATTTATTTATTTATTTATTTATTTATTTATTTATTTATTTATTTATTTATTTATTTATTTATTTATTTATTTATTTATTTATTTATTTATTTATTTATTTATTTATTTATTTATTTATTTATTTATTTATTTATTTATTTATTTATTTATTTATTTATTTATTTATTTATTTATTTATTTATTTATTTATTTATTTATTTATTTATTTATTTATTTATTTATTTATTTATTTATTTATTTATTTATTTATTTATTTATTTATTTATTTATTTATTTATTTATTTATTTATTTATTTATTTATTTATTTATTTATTTATTTATTTATTTATTTATTTATTTATTTATTTATTTATTTATTTATTTATTTATTTATTTATTTATTTATTTATTTATTTATTTATTTATTTATTTATTTATTTATTTATTTATTTATTTATTTATTTATTTATTTATTTATTTATTTATTTATTTATTTATTTATTTATTTATTTATTTATTTATTTATTTATTTATTTATTTATTTATTTATTTATTTATTTATTTATTTATTTATTTATTTATTTATTTATTTATTTATTTATTTATTTATTTATTTATTAATAGAAGATATTAGTGTCGTGGTCGCAATAGATTTCTCATTTGATTTCGAGGTTTAACAATAGAGAGACCAAAAATATTAATTTCGGTGCAGTAATCATTCGCTAGGGTAGTAATTTCTTAGTTAAATTGTCCTAACATTTCTAATGATCCAGGAATTGAAGCTTTAACTCGATAAAATCAGTTTTAGATGAGTGAAAATAAACAAATGACACTACATTTTGAAAGAAAACTCTGTGAAGTATTTAGAAAATTTTAACTTGATTTTTGAAATTTTATTTTATATAAAAGATATTTTATGACAAGTTTAGAACTGAAGAATTCATTTCCACCAAATAAATTCGTTTCATCGTTATGTATACAATAATTAATAAATACGTATAATATATCAATTCTTAAAGTATCAATTGGCCAGAATGAAGAGTCTAATGAAAACAATACATCAAAAATATTTTAAAATATTCTGGAAACTGGTAAATTGGTAGATAAGTCATTTAAACCAAGGGTTTAAACGCGCGATTGAACCTTATTGTTCCATAAAAAGGAATCCGAGGACATCTTGTTAAGCGATTCAAAACGTTAAAAAGCGAAATAATATCAGCTCTCTCAGATCCAAAGGACTTCAGATCTTATCGCAGCCGAATTCTTAACATCGAATACGCGAAAAGCAACGTCGAAGTTTTCGGAATCGAGGATTTTTTCTTCCGAAGGCGCGTCTCGCTCTTCGCCGCGGTCATTTTCTAATCCCGGAGATCAAAGTATTCGCGATCGAGACCAGTACACAAAATTGTCCCACTTTCGTCCACGTTCCAGTCCCGCCAGTAAATTCGCCCGTAATTTGTTTATGCACGGACCCCGTAACAATTTACGACTTCCACCGGTAAGAAACGGCCGTTTCGTCTTTCAGTCGCCGTGCTTCGTTGATGCTGCCATTCTGATCGACGATTTCCGCGATCGTAACTTGCACACCTTTTCCCATAAACCTGCTCCGAAACGAAACGAAACGGAACGGAACCGCCGACCTATCTCTATTCTCATTTATTATTTCAAGAACGACCGGCTTCGGAGTCGAAATGAATCGATTACGCGGAATCGTGGCCCGATTGTTAATGGGAAATCGCGTTTTATTTTCCAGTTATCGGAGATTACACGAAACGGGGACTCTCCGGCGGCGAGAAGAAGAGGACGAGCATAGCTTGCGAGCTGCTCACCAATCCGTCGCTGATGTTGCTCGACGTAAGCTCTTTAATTGCACTCGACGATCGCCTTTCGACGTCGCCCGCCCGCCTGTCCGTTCGCGGCAGATTTTCTTGTCGCGTCCCCGGACAATGTGTCCACGAACGAGAACGGGAAAACGTCGGGGTTGCTCTCTCGAAACGCGTTCGTCGTACTCGAAACTCAATTTTTAATACAGTTAAATAAGCTACAGTTGGTTAGAATCCACAAGATGCGAGAGGGTCGCGAAGTTAACCCTTTTAGTGCCAGCCCTGGTTAGTGCGGTTTGCTAAAGTTTCAGAAGGCAATTATACAGTGGCCCACAAAAGTGTTCGTAACACCTTTTAAAACGCAATAACTTTGTTAATACCAATTTTTGTCGTAGGCTCGCATAAAAAAGTTAAAGAACGAGGGTCTTTTATTTTGTTTCGTCTTCCCAAGTAATTGAAAAAAAATCGCAATTTAAAAAAGGGCATTTCAGTCATCGTCTAGTAGATTAGTCCCTTTATTATCTAAAAAAAATACAAATCATTTAGTTGAGTCTTGAAAAAGTTATTAAGTTTTGGAAGTTGTACGAAGACTTCTGTGGGCCACTGTACGAATTTGGTAAAAACCGATCGATTAGAAAATTACCGAAGGAACATGAATCAAGAAATAACGTTGTTAAAAATATTAAGAAAACATTTTCTCAAGCGCAGCGATACATCCTCGTTCATCACTAGATAATAAATACGGTAAAGTCTCCCTAATTGACGCTTAGATTGTGCACAAAAATGGGCAATTTGGGAAGAAGAGATACGATTATTCGACCCTTGCGGTTAGTTTTTATGGTTACTGATTGTCAACGATAATGATAAATCATCAGTCAATAAAAACGAGCTGCAAGGCTCGAGTAATCGTATCTCTTCTTCCCAAATTGCCCATTTTTGTGCAAAATTTAAGCGTCAATTAGGGAGACATTACTGTAAATGGCTCGATGTCTGCAATAAATCTCGTCGTCTCTAATCTCGTACAACTTTTATCGTCACCGTGCACCAGACGTATGAATCACATCCTCGGGATTCCGATACGTCTCTTAGAAAACGTTCGGCTGCCATAATTTTCGGAACCGACTCGACGAAACTATATCGTTCGTCACCGTCTGATTCGGAACCGTCGCGAAGGATCGAGAATGTTTCGACGCGCGAGAGATTCTGTCCTCATTGTCGGCGGATATTCAGTTATTCGTGGCATGGTCGGCTAGCGAAATGAGATTAATTTGTATGCTGTCGTCCCCCAGGAGCCGACCAGCGGGCTGGACTCGCATTCAGCACAGGCGTTGATTTCACGACTGAAGAAATACGCGGAGCAAGAGGGCAAGAGCATCGTGGTGACGGTGCATCAGCCTAGTTCCAGGATGTTCCACAGCTTCAACAAGCTCCTTCTGCTGAGCCGCGGCCAGGTGGCATACTACGGCCAGACCTCGAATATCGGCAGGTTTTTCTCCACGATAGGACTGACGTTGCTGCCTCATTACAACCCGGCCGACTTTATACGTAAGCTGATCGTTAACAACGCGAACGGTCGTCGTCCCGACGCGCGTCGAACGCGAGAAATCTGACGAACGTGTAACGCGAGCTGAATCGAAAAACGATGCTCGCAATTACTTGCGCGTTCGCCTAAACAAATTTTCGCGGAGAGTTAAACAGTTGCACAAAACGTTCGGACACTTTTTTAATAACCCGCCGAGTCGATCGAGATGATTTTTTTAAGTTTAATCGGTTAGCTTTGTTCGACGAGTATACTCGTCGTCGCTTGATTCTCGCGACACGTATAGGCGCGTAGACTCGGAAAACGAGGCGCCACGGCTAATTGGTTAAAGATGCTGAAGTTGTAAAGACTGTTTCGAAATCGATTGAATCGATATCTTAATTCGAGCATACGTTGTGATAAAGATAGTGAAAACTTGAAATACATTCGTTCTCTTGAAATAATTCGCGTCAGTCGCTTTTAGCGATTGATAGGTTCAGTGTTAATAGTTTAAAGGATGATCATTTTGCCAGGAAAATGTTCTCGATGCTCAAGGATGATCGAATCCTTCCTTTTAACTGTGGCTTTTACAAAATACAAACATACTCGGTTGTATTTTAAGATACACGGGTAAAGGAACGACTAAAGCGTCTTGTAAAATTGAGGGGATGATTGAACACCTCCTCGTTTAACCCTCGAGGACTTTCGCAATATAATTATAATAACTATAAATAAATTCAAAATATAATATATTTATTATATTATTATATTATTATATTATTACATTATTATATTATTATATTACTATATTTCTATATTACTATATTTCTATATTACTATATTTCTATATTACTATATTACTATATATGACTATATTATTTTATTATTTTATTATTATATTATTACATTATTTTTTTTTGTTTAGTATTATATTATATTATATATACAATATTTTTTATTTATTCATCCTCAAGGAAAAAGCATCAGTAGTGTCGGACTTACGAACACAAATATTACCCGTGGGGTAGAAATCTACTTCGCGAAGGTCGTCGGGGGTTAAACATATTTCTAAGATACACAGAAACCGACTGAAGCAACTGGCAAAATTGAAGGAGTCGGAGGTTCCGCGCTCGTTGGTAGTATTCTATGGAAAAATCTGATAGCCGTGGGGGATCGGGGGATGATTAAACGTGGCTGGCCGGCCGGAGTGAAATATTTTTGCAACCCCATTGTTTCAGTGGAGCAAATAAAGGGGCCAGAGGAGGTTCGGGAACGGATCGTGGCCGCGGCGAGGAACGCGAGACAGGGACCGGACTGCCCGCCGGAACTTCGCTCGGAATATAATCCCAGCCAGCATCCGCTCTGCGACCATCTCATCCATTATCACGAGCACCACATCAGCCACAATGGTATTAACTTTGCGCGTACCTCGCAACCAACCCGTCGAGCTTCATAATTCACGCTGTCCGCGGAAACAAACATCTCTCGACGCCGTTCTCGCCTTTTTTTCTTCGCATCCTTTCGATTATCTCGACCAGCCATCGACTGGCTACCAATCAAATTCGTGCGAAAATATATCAAAAATTATTGGAGATTGTTAACGAAATACTCCTATTTCTATGAAATAATAGTTCAAGCGTATGTATTGCATGTATCGAAAATAATTATTGTACTGGAAATAATTATTTGATATGTTTCATCGGTTCGAAACTGATTATGTTAAACTCGACTGTTTATCATTAATGTTTATGAGAGAAGGTAAAGCTATGGAGAAAGTACAAACGCATATTGTTTCGAAGGATAAGCTTAATTAATTCTTGTAATTGGGACATTCAACGTTCGTTTACCGAATCTTGATCTTCTTTGATTCTTTTACCCCTTGCACTGTGATTTTTTAAAGCTACGATGATTAGCAGATTTTCATCCTTACGACTAGGTTTACAAGAGATTTATTTATGAAGAATTTGGTCACCGTTTTCCGTTAATAACTCGTAAACAAACCCGCGGATTGCACTTTCGCTAAGGAAAAAGTTACTTGAAATGACCTCAGAAATCTTCCCTCTCCGGTTGTTAACATAATTCTGGGAAACCCTGTATATTATCATACTAATATATTATCATATATAACATATTGAATACAAGTTCGACTCGTCACGGTGCAAGGGGTCAATAGATTTTGATTAATATCGAACTTCGCTAATCGAATCGACGAATTTCAGTGAAAGAGGACGAGGGCCGCACACTCTGGCTGGACACGCAAAGCCATACCAGCAGCAGCGCCAGCTCCGCCGACGAGGATTACGCCTGGCAGTGGCCCACCAGTTTCTGGTCGCAATTCAAAGTGAGTAGTACGATCCGTCGTCGTATTACGTGGAAACCTCTATTTACAAACAATCACGAGGCCGGTCTCTCTCCGAGCCGGTCGGCTGAGAAGAAAAAAAAAGTCGCAAGACCGCATTTTCTGTGCCAGGAATCTACAAAGAGGCGACTTAGCATAGCGTATCCGCGGTTCGCGCACAACAATTCGACATGCATTACACTTTCTTAAGGTTACGCGCGCCGGGTAATTGTACGTTAATACCGTGAATTAATTATGAATGCAGAACGAGCAGCGAGCGCGGTAAGCGTGTGCCGCTATCGCTCCGGCCGCGAGCGCGTATCACTTTTTCCGATTTCCCTTCGATTTCCGATAATTTTTCCGAGCGAATTTTTCCGTCGAATCGCGGACAATTTGTTCCACGGTTCCAGGACCCCTCTCCCCCGTGCAGCAGGTCTCTCTGCGATCGACGTTTTTCGAGAACGAACCTTCGGGAATGATCTACCCCCCCGGGCGACGCGACGAACGTTCCAACAATATTTGCCGTGCAAACACTCGGCCGTAGTTTATACAGCGCGGAAAGACGTTAGGGTTCCTATCCGCGCTCGGCTGTCCACTCTTGAAGCGGTCGATCGATTGGAAAAATAACGCGCGGGAAGATGGCCGTCCGTTTATTTCCCGCGAACAGGCGGCCGCGTCTCGTCGAGCAATCGAATAACAGAATCGCTTCGCGACGTGAACGCTCCGATCGTTCGGTCGAGTCCCATCGACCGGAAGAAAACACGAAATATTTTCTGAAGCGGCGGCGGTGCGACGATTTTCGGCCAATCGCGGGGAACGCCGTTCGCGTTCCGTGAAACAGAGCTCTCAAACAGGACTCCAATCTCGAGCTTCGCAACAACAACGGAAAGAGAAATATTGTTCTTCGTGGCTCGCGTTCTCCGAGCATACCCACGCGTTCTCCGCATAATTTCGTCCCGGGGAAGTCATAAATACGATATTCCACGGCGAGCATTCGATTCGCGGCGGCCGCCATCTTGTGCGCCTGCAAATCCGGAAGCAATCCGGGGTCCGCGGAAAGGTTTCCAGACCGCGGATCCCATTGTCCGTAGAATATCTACAGAGAATAGAAGAAATAATAATAGAAGAAATCCGCGACGGAAGTCTTTCTTCGCTAAGAAATTGCCAGCAGCCGAAATCCGATGTAAAAGGCACCGTTGTTGTCCTCCATCTTGAATCTGCGAACGATCCTTCGAGCTCCGCGGAGACATCGCGAAACGCGGATTTTTAATCGTCGATCGCATCGATCAATGGGAAATTTCTCACTGGTAAAATCGTCGCTTTGCATCGCTGAAATTATCGCGTCGACCGCCATCTTGAATTTCTGCGTAGAGAACGGAAGATTTCGGAAGTCTTTACGAATTTGCGGGTGAAGCGTCGCGATCGATGGGCGCGATTCTTCTGCGGGGGGAAGAAACGAGATCAAGATTCGGCGGAATCTGTCGGTTCGACCGACAGAGATTCTTCTGCATCGGCGACGGCCATGTTGAATTTCGCCGCGGCGGTCGCAGTCAAGGAGCATTGGTGGAAGCCGGCCGAAGGCGAGATCGAAAAGTTCGATTGCGCGCAGGATTAATAGAGCATGCAAACGGTAATATGCAAAATTTAGATGAGTGGTCTGGTATGCGGGAACACAGATAATACCACGGAGGGGAAAATGGAAATGACATCAGGATTCAAGTTTAATGCTCGCATTAAATTCGTATTAACGCTCGCCGTTTATCTGAGACACGGTAATGCATTCCAGATAACTTTCAAGGCGGTGCGCGACACGGTTGGTTCTCGCCGGCTCGTTCCGTCTGAGGTGCTGCGCTCTGTTTCGCGGGGTGGGGGGGGGGGCACCCCTTTGTAAAGAACGTAATTTCCGTACGGCCGCGGACAATCGGGGCCCGGACAAGCGGCCGCAATTTCCAGCCCGTTTGAAAATTTGATCGAGCAATTTCCTCATCCGCCGCGCCGGCCCGCCGACGATCCACCGCGCGAAGAATTAATCGGATCGAATTAAAAATCACGCCCTCGAGAGCCAACGTGTCTCGACGCGTCTTCCCGTTCGTCGCGGCTTCTATTTAGGTATTTCGATTTCCCGTAATTTCTCATTGTCGCGGACGGACCTGATTGACGGTGTCCTCTCGCGGCTCGTGCTTTCTGCGCGGTCGCGTTTCGTTAACGAATTCGTCGGAAACGACGGCAACGCGAGGAATTCGGCGAACGCATTCTGCAAAAAGAGTATCCGGAATTTCTCGTTCCGAAGTCCCAAGTGTGCTTTTTTTGCTATTTTTGCGATGGAAGAAGCAACGTCGAGCAAAGAGTTTCTCTTAATTTTTGCATTTCCAAAGAAATTTCTTGTGTTTGATGAAGGGGAGAGGTCGATTACTAGACACCGCGAACGTACGTTTATGCGAAATAAAAATTGTACAGGTTAATTGTGAGAAATACAAGTTGGATGAAAATGTGTTTTCTTTTTTAATAATTCCAACAAGCTGAAAATAAGGAAGCATATGGAAATGGACGGAAAGGCGCACAATCTAATTTACCCTGTATAATTTACCCCCTCCCCCTCAAGTAATAGGGTTGTCCCATTGGACAAGTAATAGGGTTGAAATTTTGCAGAGATGAATTGTTTTTGGTCAGATATCGAACAATATAATACTGTCGGTATAAAAAACCTCTAAAGGCAATTTCTATCGTTTTAATCGGCTAGGCCCTTTGTTCACTTGAATATTGTGGACAGTATAATGGAAAGAAGAGAATTTGATTCCAACTTAAAAGAACGAAATAACATTAATATTATTATAATATATATATTTAATTATATATATAATTAAATATATTATAATAATATATTATATCGTATAATATATATTATATTATAATTATATAATATATTATAATATTATTTATATATATATTATTAACGAGTTGGACTCGCGTTACAGCGCGGCAAAGGGTTAAACGTATATTACCGCGAAAACCAAAATCGACTAAAACAACGATTAGGTCGATGCTGCGACGCTTGATCCGTCGGCAAATTCAATGGCCGGAGAGGCCCGATCGGGAGATCGAGCGATTTTCACAGTGCCGTAACAGGCGAGGCGCGCGCGCGCGCTTATACGGAAAACGGCGAAACACTTTCCGCGTCGATCGATCGTCGCGTGAAATTTTTTTTTTGCGAAAAACGATTCCGCCGTGGAAAAGTGAGACGCGAGCTCTGCACGGCGCATTCGTATTTCCAACGAACGAGCGTACCGGTGTCGCAGTAATTATCCGGATATGGCGAATCGTGTAAACGCGACCTAGTTCTCCTCTCCGCGCGTCCGCGGCCCTCTTTCTCGCCGGACGGCCGAGCGATTTTCTTTCTTTGATTCGGGGACCGATCCCGCGGTAACTATTTCTCCCCGAGGATCGTCGCCGCCATTTTGACAAATCGAGATTTATGGCGACGATTCTTGCGCGCGCGGGACGAAATTCGTGATCCGCAGCTGCGAAAGCTTTCGACGAAAAGCCTGCAACTTTAGTTGGAAGTTCTCCGATTCACGGATCATAAATAATAATAACCATAATAACAGTGATAATAATAATAATAGTTTATTCAACGGGTTGGTGCCTTTTAATGAATACAAATGATTTAGTATAATACGATTGGAAGTGCGTAAACAAGAAAAAAGATCAAAAGAAGACGTAAAATAAAGAAAGAAAAGAAGAAGGAAAAGAAAGAAAGAAAGAAAACATAAAACGTAGAATACAAAAATACAAGATTCTGCGGATATATTTATATGCGCATAAAGATCGAAATTGGCAGCGTAAAAAGTACAAAATTCGTGGTGCGTTAATATTTTTTAAACATCCAGATGTTCCGTAAACGAAACCGAGAGCGATTCGTAGGCGATTCTGATGACCTTAAATGGATGGCGAATATCGAGTCGTCGAGCATCGAATACGGCAATGGTGCCGTAAAGATCCAAAGAACTGCTCGATTTTCGAGAAACAACGGAGATCGCGTTTCGTTTGGAAGGTGTAACCGCGAGGCTCTCGATTCTCGATTTCCGATCCGAGATTAGCATCGTCGGGCACGTTCGACTGGCTTCGAAGTGCCGGATCGATGGATCCATCGGATCGTCGCCGGTAATTGAGTAATTAACGATGTCAAGTTCTTCCTCTCGGTTCTTCACGGTTAAATGACACGTGCGTTATATAGTTGTAATTTAAAGAGGCCTTCGAAAGCCAGCATTGTGAAACTTTGCGTTCTATTTCCTCACGGCCGCCTGATATAATTGAGCTGCACCAAAGAGGTGTAGCGGGCAACCTTGCAATTGTGACATTGTCGCGGTACGGGGGCAGCATTTCTATCATTATATGAGCGTGGCAATTAGCAACGCGCTCGTGTGTCGTTGCGGATCAAGAGAGCTCCGTCTTGATATAGGCCGCCTAACGAGATTAATTAATCGAAACACACCGGCCTCGCGGTGCCCCCCGACGCTTTCGCCGGCCGTCGTCCCGTTCCGTTCGAACTCGAAACCGGCGATCGAACCAAAAACTGGCCGCGACCGGCGCGGCGCGGCGCGGCGGCAGGCTCGATGCGATCCGAATGGCAATCGGCTGGCAATTCTACAAGGTTTAAAATCAGCACCGACGTTACGCGTTCTCCTGGAATCTGATCGAACGTTTTCCAGGCTTAAATATTCATCGATTCGATAGAAATAAGAGCGAATTTCGTTGCGCGTGCGCGCGCACGGAATCGCGCGGGATTACGTCAGCGATAACCAGGCTCCGGGTTAGAAAAGGTCGCGGAATATCGCGTCATCGACAGCGAACGTGTTAATTAACACCGGTACAGTACAATTAATCCTCGCTTCGAACTTCAACGGGATCTCGAACGCGGTCGACGTTCGCTTTCTTCTAGACGTTCTCTTTCGAATTCTAATCAAAGCGTTGCACTATTTTAAAATCCTCTTCGATTTTTCACGCGGATAATGAAATGCAACGCTCTATAGGGTGTCCTAAAAATATCTCTGAATCCGAAAATGGATTCCCGAAGTCATTTGAAGCAACTTTTCCCTTAGCGAAAACGCAATCCGCTGCTTCGTTTACGAGTTATTAACGAAAAACACTGACCAATGGGAGAAGTGCGACCGGCGCTCCGCCCATGCAGCCAATGCCGCGTCGCGCCGGCCGTCTGACGCAGCGGCGGTGGTCGCGAGGGCGGGGCGTCAGCCGTACGCGATCTCTCATTGGTCGCCGTTTTTCGTTAATAACTCGTAAACGAAGCCTCGTAGAACATTTTCGCTAAGGAAAAAGTTACTTGAAATTGCCTCAAGAACCCTCCATTGCCGGATTGCGAGGCGTACATAATACGAGAAGAAAAATGACGTCCTGTGGTTCCAGGTATTATCAGAACGAAACTTTCAAGAAGCACGGCCACGGATGCTGTCCCGCCTGAATTGGCTGCAAACGATAGCCCTCGGTCTGCTCGCTGGCCTGCTCTGGCTGAGGCTTCCCAGAACCGAAGCGGCCCTCCACGACATCCAAGGCTGGATGTTCTTCAGCACCACGTACTGGATGCTGTTCGCGCACTTCGGCACACTCTCCAGTTGTAAGTCGTCTTTATCCGCCATTTCTCAAACCGCGTTCCGTCCTGGCATTTGCCAGCGAAATGATTTAGCCATTTTCAAATCGAATCGAGCACTTGATTTTTAAATTCAACAAATCCGAACAATAAGAGAACGATGAAAATTTGACGTTATTTAATATTTATTCATTTATGGGGAGAAATCCTTTTTTTCGCTGGAATAGTAAAGAAACCCAACCGTTTCCAAAAGAAGTTAAAATTTCTCAAAAAAGGTCCTGTTTAAACTGTTATTGTCGCCTTATAACGGAGCATGATTCTCTCGTTTAACGTTAATTGTTATTGAAAATATAATATTCAAGATATGATCGAACACGAAACGGTCCAGGCTAAGTGTGGGTATTACTGCGAACGCCCCAAATACTATTTTTCTTCTAAAAATGAATCTAACCATTTTTCATACGTTCGATATTGATAATTCACGACGTACAAGTAACAGTAATCGCAGTTTTAATTAATTCACTGACTATTCGACATTCGGAATCTTACGAAATCGTCGAGTCTTGTGAAATACTTTTAACGACAGCTTCGAACGCTGATTCGAAAGGCACTTATATTTTGGTAATCAGTGACAAACTGTTCGTTTCGGCGCTATCTTTAGATACAGCAGTCGTTAGGTCGATCAAAAAAATCGACGTACCGCAGTAATACCTACACGTACCCCAGTTATAGCGGACGAGAAACATGACGTGCGTGTCGATTTCGATCGGAAAGAACGCGATCCGATCTCTCTCCCCGGTCGGCATTTTCGCGCGAGCCGAGCTCGATCTGCCCGAAAACAGAACCGGCGAGAAAATGTCCGACGCCTAATGGGTCGTGTTCAGAGCAATTAGACACGGTTCGCGCGAACAACAACAACGTAGGCAGCAGAGCGCGCGCGCGCGCACGCACGCAGTGGGATGCAAAACACGGGTTCTCGTTGTCAGGTGGCGGCGGGCACGTTGCGCAACAAACCAACCGAGAACCAGATGAAAGTAGATTGGTTAATTGAGCCACAAACGGCGTGACGCGCTGAATCGGCCATTCAACGATGCCCGTTTTTTTTTATTGCCAAGATTTGCAAAGGACCTGAAGGAACGGTCAATCAAGAATGTTAGTATGTAGGTCGCGCCGTGACCCACTGCGCGACGTCGCTCGCGCCCGGTAATTGGAGGCCCTTTTGTCGACGACGACCGTGCAAAACGAGCGTGACGAATTTCTGACTGGGAATCAGACTGTGAAGCCACTCGGCGAATCGGAGATCCCGTGCCACCGGCCGGAATCGGACGGTGAGATTTCCAGTCGATCCGTCGAGTCCCTAGAAACGGATTCGTCTCGAACATCGAAAAATATTAGATATCGTTCTCGTTCGTCGACGATAAAACAGCTCCGTCGAGGCTACGAAGATTCGCCCGAAAGCAACCAGTTTGATTGCCCGTTCGCTATTTAAATTGTAATTTTAGCGAAGACAAGAACATTGGCTCAAATTTCATGATGTTTAGAATATTTCGAGGCCAGGCCGGGATAAAACGAACAAATAGAAAATATGAATGATCATATGAATAATTCGTGATATTGGTGCTCGACGCGCAATGTGCCAATCTGCCTATCTACAGCAGCAATTTGAATTTTTAACTCTGTTGCAAGCGTTTTATTTTTCCTGCGTTTCTCGTTTATTACATATGCAGTATACGCTAATGTTAAACAAATTAGTAAGATGAAAAAGTAAAGTGAACAAGTGTATGTAATACAAAGTAGAGAAAAAAAAGTATTGCAGGAAATTCTCCCTAATTGTCCCTCAGCTTGGAAACGAAAATGAACAATTTAGGAAGAGGCGATACGATTTTCACAATCACCGACTGTCAACAACTATAAAAATATCATGTTAAATATATATTAAATATTCTCCTCCTAAATTATCCATTTCTGTTACCAAGCCGGGCATCAATTAGGCAGAATTTACTGCAATAATTTCGAACATACGTGACACGATTGAGTTAAAATACTGGTTTAACTCTTTTCATTTCTAAAAATCCCACTAACGTTCGACTAATTGTTCGACGTGTCGCAATAAAAATGCGTTTCAAAAACTTAGTTGGAAATTGATCAACGCATTAACCACGGCAAAGGCTGTTAGTATCACATATCAGTTCGTTTAAAAATAAAAATATACTCTATATAATTATATATACTTATACTATATTGTACTAATTATTATATATACTCTCTCTCTCTCTCTCTCTCTCTCTCTCTCTCTCTCTCTCTCTCTCTCTCTCTATCTATCTATCTATCTATTTATCTATCTAATCTCTACTATCTCTCTCTATATCGAATCGACTTCGCCGTATCTCGGAGTATTATGTAGAGTATTATATAGAGTAGATTATATAGAGTACATTTTTTAAATTTTAGATTATATATATATATATATATATATAATCTACTCTATATAATAATAAGTATTATATACTCTATATAATACTCTACATAATACTCCGAGATACGGCGAAGTCGATTCGACGAGGAAACGTTTGTTAAGAGCGAGTCGAACGTGCCGATAAATATCAGAAAAGCGTACGAAGAAGATAAATAAGCAGTGATATGAACAATGAGAGCGAGAGGGTCTCGATAAAGATCGGTATCGGCGGGGGGAACGAAACGGAACGAAACGAAACGAAACGGACGGACGAGCCGAAGGTAGACAGACGGTCGAGAGGAGAGTAGCCGGGCCGGATAGAGGTGACAGATCGCCTCGAACAAAGGGCAGTAAACGATAAAACAGGAAAAGTTAATGGCCGTTCGCCTCCCCGACTATTTTAGGAGTCGCATAACTTAGGCATAGAAGTTCGCCGCTAGCGGACTAGCCGCGGCTACCTTCGACGTTTTACAGTGGCCGTCACTTATCCCTGTAGAAAACGAGAGACGGTACGTGTCGGGCTCGGAACAGGCCGGCCACGGTTCTCCCGCGGCTTTAAAACAGAGTTTAGCGTCCTTTCTTCCGATCCTTTCACCGTCCCCTTCGATAACTTTTCGGGGAACAGGCCCATTCTCGTACGGATCATCCTTGCGACGCCTATGCGCAAAGGATCGAAAGGGTTGTGCAATCTTTTCATAGGTTATACTGAACTCCGTGTACTGTAACGACGAGGCTCGCGATGAACATTTTATAGGTATCGTAATTTATCTAAATAACGATCAATAATATCAATAATAAATAACGTATAATGTAACTGAACATAACATAATACAGATAAATATGAATATTTCTTCCGAATTAAAACAGAATTTGATTATTCCGTTATTAGAGTATAAGTATGAAAGTGGATGAAAACATGCGAGAAACGAAAATTGTCTCGTTCTGCTAAGAAAATTATTAAGGACACAAAAGTATCGTGGATTGCATTTTTTCGCTAAGGAAAATGTTAATCGAAATGACCTCAGAAATCGCCCCTTTCCAGGTGTTAACATAATTATGGGACACCCTGTGTAACTATAATGGGGTATATAATAAATATTATATTATATTTTCAATTTATTTATAGTTGTTATAATTATATTGCGAAAGTCCTCGAGGATTAAACGAGTTTAATGTTCAATTATCGATAACTCGTAAACAAAACGGCGCATTTCATTTGCGCCAAGGAAAAGGTCGCTTCAAATAACCTCAGGAACCATAATTTTGGGACACCCTGTAGATAATGAAGTAACGAGCGAGACATCGGGGACCGTCGATAGGGGGCGCGGATAGAGCGAAACGAAATGGGACGAAGGAACGCCGTGGGGGATGTTATTAAACCTGACACGAGCTCAGTTTTCAGCGTCGTTTGAAAGTGACACGAGCGACTTCTGTGGTTCCAGTTCCTCCTGAACGCGAGGTAATCAACAAGGAGCGATTGTCGGGATCGTATCGGCTCTCGGCCTATTACCTGGCGAAAATGGTCGGCGAGCTACCGCTTACGATTACCCTGCCCGCGGTCTACCATATCATTAGTTACCCGATGTTGGGCTTCCACAGTCCGGCAGTTTTCGTCACCCTGCTGGCGTTCCTTTTGCTGAACACCGTTGTCGCGCAGGTAAGCTACCTTTTATTAATTTTTTGCGATGGCAACAATATCCGGCCATTAACCGGGCAATCTCCGGGCCCGCGTAGCCATTTATGACTCGCGCCGATATTTGAAAATCGATTCGAGACATAAGGACCAAACCTTTACTTTAAAGGTCCAGAAATTTTTGGCCATTTTATGCACAGTCTCGTAGATTTTGTCGAGAGGATTCCAAAAATTCGAGTCCCAAGCTGCGGAAACCATTGGTTCGAAAGTTATACGCGTTCGAAGTTCAAGAATTTCAAGCATTTTTGACGCGTTAGCTCAGTTCCGTGAGTAGCGCTGCTAAATTACAGCACAGATGTCAACGAAATTCCTCGCAAAAGCCATCGAGTGGCTTATCTCGTGGATAAGTAATCATTTTGGTATCATAATTCGAATGCTTCATATTTTATTCAGCTAATCTTTAAGGATTGCGGTTCGCGCGCGCGCGTGGGTTAGTTCGCGTCAACTTTGGACGCGTGTAACTTTCGAACCAATGGTTTGCGCGCCTTGGGACTTGAATGATCGGAGTTCTCTCGACGAAATCTACGGGAATATGTATAAAAGGGCGAAAAATCTGTGGACCCGTAAAGTAAAGTTTAACCGAATCGAGCACTCCGTCTCGCGGTGTGCGCGCGATGCGCCGTTCTTCGGAGTCAACGTTCCCAGCGGATCCAGGACACTGATTATTCGCGCGGAACTGCACGCGTAGACCTTTACGACTTCCTCTCGCAATAAAATTAAGCAAAACTGCTTCTAGTCGGTGAAACCCAGCCAATAATAGTCCTCTAACGTCTTTGTTTCGGATAAGATGGATCTCCGCGAGCACGGCTCGTCCGCGTTTACGACTGCGCGCTTTAATCGACATGCCCCCGTGAACACGGCCAGCTTTATATCCTCCGGTTTCTCCGCTTTCGACCGATGCGGCGGAAGTGAAAGTTTTTTCGCGGCTGTCCTATCGAAGCCGCATTGTCCTTTTCATCCGCGAAAATTGTTTTCGAATCGCGCTCCCCAAATAATCGCTGAAACAGAATGCGCCGTTTTCTTAACGGAAGGTTCCCTTCGATAGAAAAGCTTGTTTTAGTAGACGAGTTACAGTAATGTCTGTCTAATTGACGCTCAGATTGTCCATAAGAATGGACAATTTGGGAAGTGGAGACACGATTATTCGAGCCTTGCGGTTCGTTTTTATAGTTACGAATTTTCAACAACTATAAGAAGTTGAGCTGGAGGGCTCAAATAATCGTATCTCCTTCTCCCAAATTGTCAATTTTTGTGCGCAATCTGAGCGTCAAATAGGGAGACATTACTGTACCTCTATTAGAAAATCTTTTTTTTTTAATGGAAGAACTTCGTTTCTCGTCAGACGAATATTAACCCTTTGCTCTACGATTTAAGTTTCAAGAAAGTGTGCCACAAACAACGTCTCTCAGACGCGACAATCATTTCTGACCTGATTTTTGGACCACGTTTCTCAGACGTGATAATTATCTCTGACCCGATTTTTGGACTACGTCCCTCAGACGTGATAGTCATCTCTGACCCGATTTTTGGACTACGTCCCTCAGACGTGATAGTCATCTCTGACCCGATTTTCGACCACGTTTGTCAGACGTGACAATTATCTCTGACCCGATGTTTGAACCACGTCTCCCAGACGTGGTTTTAGGGCAAAGGGCTAAATCGGTAGAACTCGGTGCCACCGTTCGCTTGTCCGATCTTTCTCCGTTTCTTTTTCCCTTCACCTTCTCTCTTCCGTCTCCAGCCCTCGACGCTGTCCACCTACGGTCAACAGTAAGTCATTGCTGCATGAAAGGCGGCCGCGATTTACTTTCAAAACCACCTACCTGCCTATTGACGGGAATGAATAACTCTCGCGTGTTTCACAAGACAACGCCGTGCACTGTCGCCAAACGCGGCGGGATCGCTTTGAAAGAAGTCGAGTTGACGAACTCGAGAAGCGACAGCGGCGGGCCCCGTTAACGGGCCCTTGCGAACGCGATCGCACCGGGACGATCTCATTTTCTCCGTTAACAACCGTTCCGCAAGCTAAGTTTCTCGAGCCGAACCGTGGTCCAAAACTGCCCTAAAAAATTCGGTACCTTTAAAACGTCGCGTTCCGATCGTCTTGCCGGACAACGAATTCTAAAGTTGCTCGAAGATTGATCAAAGCGCGCTTTCGTTAGGGAAACACAATTCGATGCTCTGATACCTAGAGTACAAAGAACAAACGCGGATCGATCTGATCGTAATAAGAAACGTTAAACCGAACGCGTTCGTAGAATAAAAGAATCAAAGAAAAAGCGAACGACGACGCTGTCGCGAAGCTGACACAATCGAAAGTTCTCCATTCCGGGAGAAAACGTGGTGGCCGATCGGCGATCGCGTTTCAGGCAGCAACAGATTAAAAAGGGAAACGCGCGGTTTTCTGTTCGCAGAGCGTGGGATTCTTCGTCGGCGCCTGCTGCCTGGACCTGCAGGTGAGCATAACAGCGTCAGCGTTGTACACGCTCGCCACACAGCTACTCGGCGGCTATTTGGCGACAGCGGTTCCGCCGTGGCTCGCGTGGGCCAGATACGCGAGCATGGTGCACTACGCCTATCAGAACATGCAAATCCTGGAATTCGGCGTCGGCGAGCCGATCACGTAAGTAGATTAACCATAACCGATGCCAATCTGAGCGCGCCGCGCCGCGCGCGTCGGTCCGTTTCTCGCGTGCCCCGCTCTATTATATCCCCGAAAACCAGAAAGAAACTTTGATACTCGGAACTGCTAATCGGTCGGAACGGTCGTTCCAACGATCCGAAAACCCGCGGCCCGGCTTTCGCGATCCGATCGCAATCGTTCTCGCGTGCCGCCCGATTTTCTTCGGAACCGCTAACTTAGAGCCCGGCACGGCTAAAACAATTAATCGGACCGCGAAGATGCCAGATAACTATATTTAGCCGGGCCCGGACGAATCCACGAAACGACATCGAACAGCCGGCGAACGAGCGGAGGAGCATTTCGCGCGGCTGGTTCGATCGCGCAACAAATCGGAAACGATCGAGACGGATCGCGAGCGATCGGGACCGCAATACGCGAGGCTTCGCGCGCGACCTGGTAAGTTCGGATCGCTAAAATTTGCATGCGCCGATATCGGGAATCGAGCGAAATTCAATTCTCCCGGGGCTGATCGGGCTAATTGAATAAAAAGTGCGCGCTCGGCTAATTGCGCGAGAGGAGATCCCGTCCCGCGTTTAAATAGTGGATGAACCCGGGCCGCGACAGGCTCGATGCATTATTCAACGCCGTTCGAGCTCCCGCGAAACTGTCCGAGCAGGCCGGCGGAGTCGCGCGAAGGATCGACGCGTTAATCGGTTTAGCCGTGGTTGACGCGATCCGATCGGGCGCGAATCCGAAATCGCGGCTCGTCTCGCGAGATTTCGGGCGCGACCGACGGGCCGCGAGAAGGTGATCGACGAGCGGCAAACCGTGATCGAGCTCTCCTCGGGGAGACTTTCGCGTTCGCGAGGTTTCGGACGCGAAGGCGATCGACGCGGCAAACCGGGATCGAGCTCTCCTCGGGGAGAGACTTTCGGGGAGACTTTCGCGTTCGTTTCGTCAGGTTCTCTGCCGACTGACCGTCTCGTTTGTCCCAACGACAGATGCTCGCAGCCAAGCAAGTTCCCGGAGTGCAGGAACGCCACCACGATCCCGGTGTCGGCCATCTTGGAGAGCCAAGGGGGCAGGGGTTCCGGTCTTCCTCTCTGGGCGAACACGGCCGTTCTGCTCGCGTTCCTGGTGATATTCCGCACCCTCGGCTACCTGGTTCTCCGTTACTACCGCGTGCCGAAGTGAGCCACCATGTCGCGGGAACCATGAAGAGACTCGCCACTTCGTCTCCGATCGGACGGACGATCGACGATGGATCGACGGACACGCGCCGCGACGGCCTCGCCCCGTTGCGCCAACGGGGACTTACGAACGCCCGCCGACTCTATAACTCACCCCTCGTTTCCGCTCGCCGGGAATCGTAGCTCGCAGAACTGAGAAACGACACGCAGCAGCGCGAAAAGTTTATTTTTACAGGAGAATGAGAGAATAGGGCTCGACGAAACCCAGGCCGCGATGCCGATCGCCTCTGAAAACGCGACCTCTTGCCGCACGGCATTCTAGAACCCCGCGACGAACCCTCGCTCTCGCGGATTTCCACGGACTCCGGGGGAGCTGTTGCTGTTGCTATCGTAGATCTCGCGGCCGTCAGCTTCGCCGACTATTTCTAATTCTTCGACTAACTGCGATCATCTCGAGCAGACCGTCGCCTCGCGCGGAGGCTGTCGCCGAAACGGTCGCTCTGCTTCTCGAGAGCGGTCATCGTTCCCGCAGCAGATCCGCCGGAGTCTAGATCGATCTAGCGAGAAAATTAGCGCGACGATTAGCGTGACGATTAGCGAGAATAACCTGGACGCGCTCGCGAGAGCAGATCCACCGTGTCCGGCGTGTTCGGGCGTCGCCGCGAACTCGGGACCGTTTTCCCGAGGACAGAAGCTAGATCGACGAACAAATAAATGGTAGAACGGTACGCTGAAGAGGAGGGTGACCGTCGCAGCGACCGAGGGGCTCGGTTTTCAGAGGGGTCCGCAGGGGCCGCGACACTATTTTACTTACCGATTTAGCGACTATTTTTCTTAACACGCCGCACGCAGGACTAGCATACCTCGTCTAGCCGGGTGACCGTCGACCGGGAAACGACGGGTGAGGAAAATAAAACGTAGACCGGCCCCCCGAGTGGGGAACTCGGGGGTGCTCCTTCGGGGACGATGGGACACGCCGCGTGTCTCTCTCGAGCTTCGAGGACGGTGGGCGCGCGTTTCCGGTGGCGCAGCGGCCGAGACGCGCGTTAATTAACCGATAAGGATTCTACACGTAGAGAAGAAAAAAAAAAGAAACTGTTTCTACTATATCACGCCGAGGTGGATGGCTGAGAGAACGAGTGAACGAGAACGGGCCCCCGTGGCACCGGTGAGAATGAGCGACGCGCGACTGGTTCGACTCCATTCTTTTAATTTTCTTGCGGCAAGAAGGGTATAATAGGCAGGGAAACCGAGGAACAACCCATCGACACCGAACGAGAGTGTGAGAGAGAGAGAGAGAGAGAGAGAGAGAGAGAGAGAGAGATCGACCGAGCAACAGTGCAAAAGCGTTTCGATGCGAACGGGGGATACGACGACGAGGGGGAGAACAACGGGCAAGGGTGGTTTTTTTCCGGGTGGGAGGAGAAGAAAATCGACGCGGCGCAGAGGGTCGCCGCATCACCGACTGAAAAAAAAAATATGAAAAAGAAATCGCGTTTGTATACAATACATAGTACCAGGTACCATTTCTTATATCGCGAACGAAGCGTAGGTTGAGCGCGGACACACCGAGATACACACACGGAACGCCGACACACCGTGAAACAGAGATCAATTCGTAGGATTAGAGGACACGAGGCGCGGGGGTGCTGCGGAATTCACCGTCCCTGCCCTCCGCCCTTCTTTTTTGCGACTATCCGGATGTAACACCGTGGACACACGTACACACACACATGTACACAGAAAACACACAAGGACATTTCTTTTTACTTTTATTACCGCAGAAGAGTTGCTACATTTTAAAGATATTCGCCCTAGATGGTAAGGTGAACTGCTATTCATTGCTACCGCTACTATTACTACTACTATTACCACTACTACTACTACTACTACTATTACAACTACCACTACTACTACTA